GTGTGTGTGTGTGTGTGTGTGTGTGTGTGTGTGTGTGTGTGTGTGTGTGTGTGTGTTTACATATGTACGCACATGTTCATGCTGAATACAAAAGCAGCTAAGACTGGACAGGGATGCTGTATTATGAACCAGATAGTCAGGTATAGGCTTGACAGCGTACATACTTAGGAAGGGTGTTGGAAAGAAGCCAGTTGGTTTTATTTAACCTGTTTCATAAATAGAGGGAAAGGTGCTTGAATTGCTATAAATCTCTTACTCTCTATCCAAACCAATAGACCTCTGTTGAAAGTAAACACTGTCTTAATTTGTCCTTCAGAATCACAGCTAGCTTCAGGAAGTGATGGGTTCACTTTGGCTTTCTTTTTCCTTCCTATTATTGGCCATAAGAAGAACAATTACTAGGAGCCAGGGGCAAGGCTGATGGTGCTTCTCTTGTATTGCCCTGTTCTGTGTCCCTTGATTCTGTTCTCCCTTTCTCCTTTGACCTTGTCACCTTGCTGGTTCATTTGTGTGTTTTTTGTTTTGTTTTGTGTGTGTGTGTGTGTGTGTGTGTTTATAATATCATGCCTGTCTCATTTGAAATACTCTCAGCTTGAACTGTTCAATAAGACAGAGAAGGAACTCCAGTGTTCTGGAGATCTGTGAAGACTTTGCTCTCCAAACCCTTGGAAAATTCAGCCTGTGTTTTTGTGTTTCTCCCTATTCCCCAACTGCCCTGGTCCTTCCACCTTCTACTGTCCTCTTTGCCCACAGCACCCCTATGCTTCCAGAAGCAAGTAGGTACTTAAAGTCTTTGAGGCTACCTGCCCCTTCCTCAATTTCAGGGACACAGAAAGGGAGAGGCAGGAGACGGGGGTGCATGTGCCTTTTAACCCAAGCCCATTCCTAATGATCTCTGAGTCAGGAGAAACCTGTCATGGGTGGGAGGAGGTCCCCCACAGCAGCAGTCCCCTACACTGCTGAGGGCCGCTGTGTGGACAGGTGCTTTGTGAATATGTTCGGTGTGGGTGTGTGCTATGTAGTCACTCCTCTCTTGTGCATTGTCTCGTAGATGAATAGGCTAGGCAAATGGACCACGTCTTTGGTGAGAGGAGTGAGGTGTGAGGAACTGATGTCCTTCCATAAGGACATGCAGGAAACGAGGGCGTGGAGTGGGAGCAGAGCCCAACCACCTGAGTGTTCGCCCAGAGCCCTGTATCTCTAACCCTGTACAAGCCTTTCTTCAATACCTTCTCCTTCGTTCACAATCCAGTTCATAAGAACTGTTTGTTGCTCTGGTCCTCCTGTAAGTCTAGTACCACATGAGGACAGGGCCTTTATTTTTAGTTGATACTTGATAATAATCTTCATCAGCAGGCCCTGGTGGTGGCAGTGGTGGGGGCTGCAAGAGCAGACAACCCTTATGAGGCTGTCGAAAAACATGAGCTGAATGATGGATCCACTGTCCCTTTCCTTTCCCCGAAGCTCTCTCCACTGCAAGGCAGGCAAATACCTCTCTACTTCCATACTGATATTTTATCATTTCCTCCCACTCTTCTTCCTCCCCACCCCCATCCTGATAGCCAGTCAGTGGAGGACGATGAAGCATTTGCCACCCTGAGGAGGAGAAGCTCTGTGGGCCTGAGTACATATCTCCTGGCAGAGGAGGAGCTAGGAACCGGGGAGCCAGGGACTGGGGTTTCGCATCGCCAGGCACTCCGCAGAATCATCTCCATTGAGGAAGACCCCCTGCCTCAGCTCCTGGAGAGTGGCTTTGAGAAGCCACTGAGCAGATGCCCAGAAGAAGAGGAGGTCTCTGACCAGGGGACAAAAGGGCAAAGGGTGGCAACCCCAGCCTTGGAACTCATCCCTACTTCTCCCCGAGGACAGCCTGTTGGAAAAGAAGCTTTCTACAAGGTAAGGTCCAGGCAACACTGCTGATATCTGCCCCTTGACTTTGAGCCTAGGAGCCTCAAAGGACACTCAGGGCAGGCTACAGTGGGCTTGGGGATTCATCATGTTCACCATATTCTGTGTCCCAAAGATGAATCCCAAAGCCCACCGTAGCTGGCCTTAGGCTGAGCAGAGAGCCATCAGTTTCAATAAATTCTTGTCAGCTTCTGTTCCCCCGCATTGCACACTCTCTCTGCTAACTCAGATTTGAAGCATTTATTGAATGCTTGCTGAATTCAGTGTCTACTAACACCCATGACAAGTGGTCATTTGGTCCAACCATCAAGTGTGTATGCCATCATATTTCTATTATCTCACCTAAGCCTCCTTCACTCCACAGTGTCCTGTGTACACTTCGCTCCCGTTTGCTTCTGTACACATCCCTCTCCTCACTCAGATTTTCCTCTGAATTCTGCAAGGACAGCAGTTCAAAGGTCATATCACTTGATTCCTACTACCAAATACTCTCTGGAAGGGTGTTACCTCTTTGGCTAATGGGAACCACATCCCTCTCCTAGTTTGTGACTTGAACTTTGATGCAGACCATTCAGCCCTTAGTCTCTGCCCTGGTCCTCCAAAATAGCTCTGGAAACGTCATGTCAACATGCAAGGGGCATTGCGCCCTTGGCAGCCCCCAGCCAGTGGGGTCCCCCTTCCCCTCTATACCCCCTTCCAAATACCTTCAGTACACAGATCTACCTTCACTCTCAGTGGGCACAGATGGATCAGTATCAGGGTCATCACAAGATGTCATCCAGTATTGTAATACACAAGCAAGAGTTCTGTAGGAGTTGGGCTTAGAGGAGAAGGCCATGGCTCCTGTGTGCTGAGGCAATGGCTTTGCTGTGGTCTGATGGGCCTGACAGAAATGTTTTTCCCACTGCCAGGAGGGCAAGTTAGGAGCCCAGAGGGAGAAGCTGGGACAGCCTGCCTGTCTGCTGGGCTCTTAGCGTAAGAGTGCCCAGCACACACCTCTAAGCTGTGCATTCTCAACTGTGAAGCAGACCTCCGTGAGACAGTGAGGCACAGACAATGCCACCCTTCTGCAAGAGCATCTGGTAATAGGAATCAAATGCCATAACCTTTGAACCTGCACTTCTGCTTCTAGTGAAAAGCCAAGACTATAAGTGTTGTTTAGAATAGAAGAACATTTTTTAGAAAGGGCACCATAGAAACATAAATTATATTACAATAATTTAGTGGACTATTACATACCTGCTTTAAAAAAAAATCACAGTTCCAAAAGTTCTTTAGTGACTCACGGACTTGTATTATTATTGAATAATTATTATAAATATGATAAATTATATATACATATATATAATTCTCAAATTTAATTAAATAAAACATTTCCTCATTATAGCTATAGAGACTGAAAAATTCATAAAATGTGAGTCATGACTACCTCAGATGATAAAGAGCTCTTTTTTTCCTACAGCGGTAGATTTCCCTAGTTTAATAATAATAAAATATCACTTAATTTTTTTTTAATATTTATTTGTGCATGTGTGTAGGCACATGCATGCCACAGCACATGTGTAGAGGTCAGAGAACAACTTGTAAGAGTGGGTTCCCTCCTTCCGCTATAGGGATAGACTGCCGATTGCCAGCCTTGCTGGACCACCTTCACCGTGAGCCATCCTGCCAGCCCTGAATATGTTTGGAGGGTTTTGTTTTCTGATTTGGGTTCTGGGTTCTAGTTACTTGCTTTTTTGTCTTTCTGTCTGTTCTGTGGTGCTGAGGTCAGAAGCTCAAGGCTCTGTGCATGGGGCTGGGGGCAAACCTTTTATGTCTTAGGTACACTCTAGTCCTTGCAGAGAGAAATGACAGCATATGTCCTGATGTGACAACCAGGCATCCGTTACCCTCCTGTCCCTTCAACCCGGTTGTCTGTCACCTGACAGATAGACTGTCCTCCGGAGAGCAGAGCAGGTTGGAGGGCCTCGCTGCTCTTGTGAGTTAAGCTGCCTGTAGTTGGGTCATTCATGGCACCTGAAAAGCAGAATTCTTCCCAGGGAGGGAAGGCACAAGGGCACTTTGCAGAGCCACAGACAACTCTTCTACTACCTCCACCTTGGGCTTCACATTCCCGCCTCTTACTGTGCCTGCTCTTCCACATTTAAACAAATGACACTTGGAGACCCCCAGACAAGGGACAGGCAGAAGCCAGTACCCTAAGTAGTCAGTGGATAAAGAGAGTAGGGCAGAGAGCATTGTTTTAACTTTATCTTAAATTCTTGTCATTGACCTTAAATTCTTTCCTGAGTACTGCATTTCTCCCCCTAAATCTGTTAGTGGCTTTGTTCCAAAACTCAAGGACCGCTAATATCTAAGCTGTGCTTCATTATGGTATTTGCTCAACCAGAGAAGCTAATTCCCTCAAATCCGCTTTTTAAATCCACCCCAAAGTCCTCCCCCTCACCCCCATCAGCAGTGCTGAGCTGAGCTTGAAGGTGAGGCATGTGGTCAGATAGTGATCTGAAACGAATGGCTGCTGGTGGGAAGTGTCCCTCACAGCACCTCTGGCTCAGTCTGTGTCCTAGAGAAAGTCCAGCCATTCTGGGATCATGGCCTCAGGCTGATGGCAGGCCAGTCCTGCTTTGTTCTCCATGGCTAGAGGAACGGAGCAATGCATGGGTGCCTCTGGGGGTTTCCCACCTTGCTGAGCGGAAGGGTGTCCTAGTTTGGACTCTCTGTTGCTGTGGTAAAAACACTGACGAAAAGCAACTGAAGGGAAGAAAGGGTTTGGTTTTTTTCTTACAACTTCCAGGTCACCACACAGTCCAGTCCCTCACTGAAAGAATGCAGGACAGGAACTCAAGACAGGAACTGAAGCAAATACCATGAAGGAATGCTGCTTACTGGCTTTCTCTCCATGTTTTACTCAGTTTGCTTTTTTAAACAACCTAGGGTCACCTGTCCAGGGTGGTACTATGCACAGGGGACAGGGCCCTCCCATATCAATCATTTAATCATTAATCAAGAACTTGCCTACAGGCCAATCTGATGGAGACAGTTTTTCAGTGTTTCCTTCTTCCCAGATGACTCTAGCTTGTGTCAAGTTGACAAAAACTAATAAGTACAAGGGTGGAAAAAAAATTACCACCACCTGGCCATCTATGGCAAATGACTATGTCACAGCTGAAGCTGAAGAGAGGGGCAGAAGGGCTGTGTGCAGAGACTCAAGAGGGCCTCCATTCCATCCAGAGGCTATATACCTGTTGGTGACTTCTCTTGGGGACACATGAACAGGAATACTTAGTTACTGTAGACAGGAAACCTACAACAGAGTCAAGAAATTATTCTATCCAGTATGAAAACTAGTGGGTTAATTGGGGTTGCTTATCAGAGCACGGGTGAATGACCAAAGACAGCTGCATCACCAACTAGCCCACCCCAGCATGGGTGATGATTCCAGAAAGCTGTATCCCTAGAGCTCCCTGTATAGCTTGCAGGCACCTCCAGAGACCAGTGGTCTCTGTTTAGGTAACCTTTGGAAGGAGTCATGTGAATCATGGGGCGTTCCAACCTTCTGAAGCCTCTCACTCGCTTGAGTCTTATAAAACTCCCTTCTCTGTGCGTTCTCTCTCTCTCTCTCTCTCTCTCTCTCTCTCTCTCTCTCTCTTCTCTCCTTTCACCTTCCTCCTAGAGGGATGTTTCAAATCAAAAGAAGGAGCTACACAATAGTACAGAAACCCTGTGGATGTCTTCTTTCTCTCTCTCCCAAAGTCTACCTTGTGGTCCTAGTTTGCTTCTCTGCTGCTATGATAATCACCATAAACAAAAGCAACTAGGGGAGGAAAGCATTTATTTCAACTCACAGGTCATAAAGGGAAGTCAGGGAAGAGGCCACAGAGCAGAAACGGAAGCAGAGGCCATGGGAAAAATGCTGCTTACTAGCTTGCTTCCTTTCCCATGGCTTTCTCAGCCTGTTTTCTTATACCACCCAAACCACCTGTCCAGGTGTGATGCCATCCATGGAGAACTGAGACCTCCCACGTCAATCATTAATCAAGAAAATGCCCTCCAGACTTTCCATGGGCCAAGCTAATAGAGATATTTTTTTTTCAATTGAGAGTCCCTCTTCTCATACAACCATAGCTTATTACAGATTGGCAGAAACAAAGCAAAACAAAACCCCAGCACACTTGTCCTCTCTGCCCGTATACGAGTTCTGCCTTCTCCATAAGCCCCTCTTGACCCTTGCCACCTTCTCCCCCTCAGTCCTCTGGGAACACCACACTCTCAGTAACTGTTTACATGTCTGGCCTATCCACTCCACCAACCAAGGCCTGCCTGCCTGTCCCAGAGCCCCCATCAGGCACGAGCATATGTGAAAGGCTGTCATTTCTCCAAACAGTCTCTTGTTCATGCCAGAAGGAGCCTTAATGCTCCAAGTCCAGTGCTAGCTGCATCCTGGCCTCCCCAGCGCTGCTGTCTCAGTGGACCACTGCAGTGATACAAAAGGCAATCCGGCAGCAGCCAGGGCTAGCGGCCATGCCCAACAGGTGACCAGGCTGTCTTCCATCCACAGGAGGAAAGCATTCTGTCTACCCCAGACAGGCTCTTCAAGATCGTGTTTGTGGGTGACTCCGCTGTGGGGAAGACATCTTTCTTGAGGAGGATCTGTGAGGCCCGCTTCTCCTCAGGCATGGCGGCCACTGTGGGTGAGTTCTCTGCTCAGGGAGAGAATGAAGGGCTGATGGGAGGAATGGAGGCACCGGCTGTGCGGCAGTGGGCTAGAAGGAACCCACCTCTCCCGGCACTGTTGGGCTGCTAAGCTCACAATGGATGGATGGAGTAGATTGGTGGGCTGGGTGAGTGCTTCATAGTCCCAGCCTTGTATTTAAGGAGCTGAAGTTAACAAAGGTGGGGTTAAGGTCTTCCGGGTCCACTCTGTGAGCTCCAGTCCAGCATATGCTACTTCTGCCTCACTTAAAAAATTAATTGTATGTATGCATGTATGTGTGTATGCTGCATGCATGCAAGCATAAATTACATACACACCCTTGCCCGTGACAACACAAATATGGGAGTCAGAAGACGGCCCGTGGGAGTTGGTTCTCTCCTTTCACCGTGTGGGTCCTAGGACTCAAACTTAGGTCATTAGGCTTGGCAGCAAGTGTCTTTACACACTGAGTCATCTCAGCAGTCCTCTGCCCACTTTCAATCAGTGGGGCTCTGAATCTTCATGCTTCCCCAGATCTGATGGGAACGCCCCCAGAACCAAGCTCTGCCAACCTTTCCCATGGGCCTACTCCTTCCTGTCTTGCCTTTAGGCCCGTGGACACATCTACAGCCAACAACCCGAAAGCCATCTTTTCCCCTGACTGGTACTAGTCATGCATCCCAGGTCTGCTGGGAGTCACCGAGCATTAACTGTAGGAGCATATTAGGCTTAGCTGCCCTTAGATATTCATGGCTGAGTGTGTTCCCACTTAGGGATAATATTTTATTCAAAGAGAGGCTTTTAATTGTTTCACCCAAAGCTGCGCGTGGTGTGGAATGGGCGGCGGGATCAAGGGCACGTTAACCTCTCAGCTTCTACCAGGTTGAGTCACTCAGCAAAAGATGAATGTGGGGAAGGTTTGCTGTGCCTCTTTAGTTGAACTGGTGAGCCAACTGAACTTGACAGTGGAGTCTTATAATCTGAGCACTGACCGTGACCATGGATCCACTGATCAGCCTGATAGATTGAGGAACTGAGGTCCAGAGAGATGAAGATTCCTATCCACATATCAGTGATTAGTGCTGGCACCAGACACCATCTAGCCCTTTCTGTAGTAGACTAGCCCTGTTGCACTGTATGCACATAGCACCATGGGAGTGGTAGGGGTCCCTCTTCTGCCTTCAGAGGTGGGCAGAGGTTGGAGGCAGGACAGGCTCTGATGGCTCAGTCATTGGAAATCCTAGGTCCCCATCATGCTTCTGCTATGAACTAGCTCTGTGATCTCAAGAGGATATAGTCCCCCTTTGGGCCTTGTTTTTGTTTTCTGTTTTATTCTCATGGGAAAGAGAAAGGGCTTGATATGGATCCCCCAAGTGCTTCCAAGCCCACGTCTCCTGCCAGAGCACCCTTGATCATTGTCTTCTGGCAAACTAATGCTGCCAGGCAGATCTCTCAAGCCCCCCCCCCCCCGCCAGGGTCTTTTATTAGGCGATTCAGCATTTGTTTCTCACCCTGAACTGGCTCCTCCATCATCTTTGCTACCTGTGGTCTCTTCCCACAGGCTTCACTGCCCTGTTCTTACTGGTGGGCCTTGTCCTATGCCGACATATCTTGCCCATGCACGCTGCATCACTCCACATGAAGACTGGGGGCATCCCAATTCAGAGCATCAGGCATGGAAGGAAGCAGGGCAGACACTGGCTCCAAACCCAGCACCGTCTGACCTAGCTTTGCTTTGAACGGGAACCAGTGTGCTAACAGTGGAGAGTACTGCAATGGCCGTTGGCAGCCAGGTTGGCTTTCCTGAGAAGTGCTCTAGAGTGAGCTCCACAGTCAGGCTTCTAAGTATGGGTTCAGGGAGACGGAGAAGATACCTCTGGAGTCCCTCTAAGCTCAGCTCTAAGCTGCATGCTTCCCCTTACAATGTGGTCAAGTCCACTTCCACTTCCGACCCCAGGCCTGAGATAGACGGCTCCGAGGAAGACGAAAATTGACCCATCTGTGCTTCCAAGGAGACCGCCACACATTGTGGAGAAACAGCTACACTTCAGGAAGAGGGCTGTCTCAGTTTGGGTTTCTGTTGCTGTGAAGGGACACCGTGACCATGGCAACTCTTAAGAAGGAAAACATGTTAATTGGGGCTGGCTTGCAGTTCAGAGGTTTAGTCCATTATTGTCGTGGCAGGAAGCGTGGAGGCACGCAGGCAGACATGGTGCTAGATTAGGAGCTGAGAGTTCTACGTCTTGATCTTTAGGCACCAGAAGAGGCAGTGAGACCCTGACCTTGAGCTTGAGCTTCTGAAACCTCATAGTCCACCCCCATGGTGACACATTTCCTCCAACAAGCCCACACCTACTCCAACAAGGTCACACCTCCTAACAAGCATGCTCTCAATGGGCCATACTTTCACATATATGAGTCTGTGGGGCCATTCCCATTCAAACCACCACAATGACAAACTAAAGGTCCCAAAGTAGGTTCTTGGGTCCTGAACATGCACCATGGCCAGAGGCAGCTGGGCCAGATCTTAAGTCATTAATGCACCTTTCCTTGTCCTGCACACAGCAACTGGCACACCAGCCATCAAGTTTCTTATAGGAGAGTGTGACATGGCAGTCACAATTTTCCAAGACCACAGCAGCCCAACCCCTACCTAGAGCTCTGGCCAACCCCTTGTCCAGAGCATTGGGCATGACTCCACCCAGCACAAACACTGGGTTTTTCTTCTGGGCTCACCTCAGTCACTTGGGGTGACTCTGGTCTCCTACACTCAATGAGAGCGTGCTATGTAGAACCCTCGATTATATGTACTATTAGGTACAACTTGTGGGGTCCCACCGACTCCACCTCAGGACCCTGCCTGATCCTTCAAGATCAGCTTTTTTGGGCCTGTGAGGAGTTGTAGACATCAAATGATGGTATTTATGGAACCCTGGACCTAGAAAAATCCTTGGAAATGGTCTATTTGTATCCAGCAAGACTGTGAGGGGACAGAGGCCCACAGCCAGAGTAAACATCAGAGACCAGACCTCCCCAGCAGCCAAGACTGTCCCCCCTGTGCTCGGGCCCACTGCTTCACATTGCTTCAGAAGCACAGCTCAGAACCCAGAAGCATGTCCTGACATCTGTACTCTGCTCTCTTTTGACTACCAGTGAGGTCCCCACCCCATGTCCTGCTGAGAATTCCTGAGTTACCCCAGGGTTCTTCTGCAAGTGTCTTGTGGGCATATCCCTCCCCTCCCCTCCCCTCTCTGCATAGGGACAGCCTGGCCCATCTTCTCCAGACAAGCTGACGTCACCTTCCTGGGATGCTTCAGCTCAGCTCTAACTCACACCACCCCCACAGCACATTTCTAGTGACCGGTGCTTCTTCGCTTCAGCCATCACGTGATTGGCTTGCAGGTGGAAGGGTATCTCAGTGTTGTCCCTGGATGCTCCAGCAGAACTTAGAGACTGTGAATCCCCAATTCAGTTCCTTCAAACTTCTATCCCCTTCAATGTACCAAGAACTGAACTTCTAAAACTGAGGGGAAATGACAACAGCAAGGTTGTACTGTTGGGCCTCGGCAGAACCTGGGTCTCCTGGGGGCTTGCACCTTTAAACTTCCGGATGCTCTTAAAACTCATTTATTCCAGGCCCTTTGGCCCTACATTATTCTACTGTCTGCTCTGTTGAGCTCCTGTTCTCCCGTCATGGTGTCTGGGTGCTGTACTCCATCCTCACCTTGTGTTGTCCTTGTGCTCTCTATCTGTGCAATCGAGCCTCTGCCAGCTTGCTTATGTGCTTCTCCAGCTGCCTGTCTGGGGCCGCTCAAAGAAATGCCCTTCAGGTCCGAGGCGAGGAGGGGGACTTGTACCAAGCTCACCACACAGCACAGAACACGTTTGTCCGGCCCTCGGCCTACCTTGCTCCCTACAAAACAAAGACCTTGTCCATCCTCTAGCAACCAATGAAGAGGGCAGAGCTGGCTTGCTGGAGAGAGCCAAGACCAGTTGCCCCCAGCAACATCCGCTTGCCCTCTCCCAGTTTTCCATGTCAGCAACAAAAATCTCTGTCCTTGGGGCTTCTGGCTCCTTGATTGGTTCCAGATCTGGCCCTGCTGGTGCAGTCTCCACAGCTGGTTGCTCAGAGAGGGCTTCTCTGAAGCAGAGAGTTGGGATTCCCCTCCTGCTCTTGCTCTTAACCAAGAAGAAATCTTGTCCCTGGTTCAGCAGCTAGCAGTTGCTACCTGTTTTGATGGGTACACATGGCCATGGGCTGCCTGGGTACTCGAGGTAAGGATGCTGGAAATGGAGTGGGGAGCCTCATCCGAGCTGCCAGCCCAGGGAAGGGAGGATTCCTTCTCAGTAGTTTCTCATCTCTCTGTGGTGTATGTGTGTGTCTGCATAGGTATGCAAATATAACCCTCATGGAGGTCTTGAGGATACTGAAGGATGAGGGGTCTCTATGAAAAACAGGGAAAATGTAGTAAAAACATTCTACTCTTCTTCTCATCCCAGATTAATCCAATCCTATCTCTGGCCCTGTCTGTGAAGCAAAGGGCCTGGGGTGACCTATCCTGCTTCCTGCCTCTTTTCTAACTGCCACATATCTCCTGCTACTCTCTGCCCAGGCTTCTGACCCTTGTTCTGCTCCCGCTCCCTGCAGGGCAAGGACTCTTAGGTCTTTGTGAAAGTGGAAAGTGTTTCCTTCCATGCCGTTGAGTTCTGCAACCAGGAGTCATAAATAAGGCTTGAGAAAACATCTTTACTCACTTTTTAAAATTCTTAAGATCACAGGAGAAAAGAAGGTCTGTGAAGGGCATGTCCAACCCATGACTAGGGGTCCATGTGTACCCTATGATAGCTGTGAATATGACCCCACATCAAACTTAGAACATTACCTGAGATTTTTTGTGTGTGTGCTGTGTGTGTGTGTGCTGTGTAACTTTATTGTGTGGTTCTCAAACATGAACTTTGCATATAATAAGAAATGTCACACAAAATGAAACAGATATGCTTGCAACCCACAGAACCCATCCCACTGTATTTAATGCGTGGCCTGAGACAATTATTAATCTTTCGGTGTGGCTCAGAGAAGCCATAAGGTTGGACAACTCTCGAAGAAGCTGCACTGAGATTTTCAGACCTCAGGGCTGAAACCCAATCAGGAATAATGTTGCATGTTGCTTTTGTGCATGACTTCATCCATTTTTCCCAGAGCAGGTGCAGGATGGTACAGCAAGGATCCCGCAAGTGACGTTAGGTTTGGTTATGTTATTAAGCCCCACAGCCCTAGACAAGGTCAGAACTCAGGCCTCATGCCTCCTGGTATAATGCTCAGTCCATTTTTCCACGATGTCCCCCAGGCACTACCAAGGGAAGGTTGCCTGTTCTGGTTCCAGGCATGGAGGCATCGTCTCCTGACTTAGAACTGAGGATGTCCATGACCAAGGCAGCTCTCACAGGCTTGTTTCCCCTTGCAGGCATTGACTACCGAGTGAAGACAGTCACTGTGGACAATGCACAAGTGGCCCTGCAGCTGTGGGACACGGCTGGGCAAGAGAGGTGAGGCGCTGCAGCCACAGGCCCCAGGCCAGGCCAGGGTTCCCAAGAAAGGCACACACCTGACAGTGGCTCTCCCATGGCAGATACCGCTGTGTCGCGCAGCAGTTCTTCAGAAAGGCCGACGGCGTGGTTGTTATGTATGACCTCACAGCCAAGCAATCCTTCCTGTCGATCCGGCGGTGGCTGAGCAGCGTGGAGGTGAGCAGCCACCTTCCTGGAAGCTCTTGAGCTGTTTCCTGACTCCCTTCTGGCCCTCTGCACATTCGCAACTTCATCCCAGGCTTGCCTGCCCATCCTTGGGTTCTTCCTCCCCTTTGGCCCTGATGTCCGACTTCTATCCAAATCTAACGCCTCCTTCGGCATCACTCAGCTGGACCACCGTCCTTTCTCAGCTGCCAGTCTGCATGTCTCCCATTACCAAGAAAATGAAGGAATGGAATGGAAATTGATTTAGGAGTTTCTGAGTGAGTTGCTTAAATACAAATCATTCCTCAAAATTCCTGTCCCTGAAACAGTTATAAATGTGAGGAACTAAATTTTGAAATGCCATGGGTTGTCTCTCCTCCAAACTAATGAAAGAGGCAGATGAACTTTGACCTTTGAAATTCATGACATGACTCTTCTTCTATCATTATTGTCATCATCATCGCCATTCTTCTTCTCCTCCCCCTCTTATCCCCTCCTTCCCCTATTATTATCATTATCATCTTTCTTTTTCTTTTCCTTTTCCTCTTCCTCCCCACTCCTTGTAGCCCCTCCCCCTCCATCCTCCTCCACTTCCTCTCGATCTACTTTCTTTGTGCTTGGCAGCACCAGGAGAAATGCTACTGATGATCTAATCCAGTGGGTTTTTTTAAACTTTTGTCCTTGGAGCCCTGGAATCAGGTTGACATTTCCTAGAAAGTGGGACAGGGCAGAGAAAGATGTAGAGATCACAGTTCCGGGCCTTACATTCTCTCTGTTCAGTCCTATCTGCTCAACAGTTTTCCAGCTTTGTACATTGGAGGTCTACATACAATAGATAACAGGGATTCCACTTGAAAATAGTCAGCTGAGTACAAACTTGTATAGCCCATCACATCTCAAGATGAAGAAGCTGAGCCGGTAACATCTCCAAGACCATTCTTTCTTTCCCTAGCCTCAGACACCCCCCCCACACACACACACACATCCAAAATGGGATCTGAGCTGGAA